GCTAATCGGGCTTACATGCGCTTAAAAATGTGTCCAGTCTGCTCGAAAACTTCATCTCTATGTAAAAAAAAAAAAATGAGACCTGACGACGACGACGCCGAACATCAAACTACTTAGTTATAGACCGCTTTCATGCTTATTTTTGGACGACGAGTCCTTGCTCCCGGAGCATTTTGACCCTTCATACTCTAAACACGCGTTTGTGTATATTGTAGTAAGTTCCGTTTTTCATTTGGATTAATAGAGAGCCCAAAAACAGCCAAAAAAACTGATATTTTGAAGATTTTCCTTACTCTTGTTCTGCTGACGGTGGAGCAACGCCGAATCAAGAAAAGGCGAGCTTACTATACAGAGCTTTGCGAGTCAGAGCCGACAGCACAGAAGGAAGTAGTTCAATGGCGCACGCGGTTGGGGAGCACTCGTGCGGCAAAAGTGACCACTGTTGCCCGAAATCTGGCTGAAGTTCCACCTGGCGGGCACGCGTGAGCGGGAAAAAAAAAAACGGAAGTTTTTTTTTGAAGAGGAGAACGACACAACAATCTTCGGCACGCTCGAGTTACACGTTCTTCTGCCGCGACCACACCACGCGGTGATAGCTGGGTGTGCGTTTGATGCTCCCCCGCGGTTCTTGCGACTGCTGAGCAGGAATTGGGCGGGTGTGGAGTGTCGTAAAAAAAGGAAAGCGAGCTCCTGGTTGCTGAAAGTCCGATTTTTTCTTCAACTGAACTGCTGGCTGCTCCATTTGTTCAGCCACATCATCGCAGATGCTGCTGCTGGGATACAGCGAAGAGACATAGATAGCAAGCACCCCCGCGCACGCACAATGAACAAGCTCCTCGAGCTCGTGGTCTGTCCATTGTCTAGCGTGTTCAGGAATGCAGCAGGTGGTAGCGCAAAGATTGTCTGCAGCAGACATCGGAAAGGGCCAAAAAAGCCAACAAAAAAAAAGGTTCACGGCATCATCATCGCAGTTTGTGTTGATCTCGCCTGCTTGATCTACGAGGCCAGACATCCCAAGCACAAGATCAGGGACCACTAGATCCTGGCCTCCCTTGTAGGCACACGGTGGCGACAAGCAATGTGAAGATGCGAAACAGTGTCTCCTCTGTTTCCCGGCAGCAGCATTTGTGATGACAGACAAAGTTTCTGTCCGGATGAAACGGATATTTTTCTTGCCACGTCAGCCACCGATCTCCGCAGCAGCAGCGGCAGCAGCAGCAACACAAGTCTCAATCTCCAAGCGCCAAGCAAACTGACTGCTTTGCTGGCGTCGAGCTCGTCACGTGTGTCTGTGGGATTCCCTTTCGCCATCGCTTGTATCGATCACTTAGACATGTACGTTTATGTGGTGTGTGCCTCGCTCGCGCGCGTATGTCTTTTTCGCGGTGCCCAAGGACCGGTTCTCGAGATTTGAATGGCTCGACCATTTTTCCATCTGGAAGATTCGGGACACATGTTGAAAAAAAATTCCTCCATGTTTGTTCGGCCATCAGCACCCCTAACTGTAGTGTCGGCGAAACCCAGGTCGCCATCAGGAAAAAACAAGAACACCAAGCCACTACTCACGGTGACTTCGATGAGGCCGTAGTAGTTGTTCTTCAGGTCCGCCCTCCGGAGCCTCCTGGCCTCCGCCGGGGTGAGCTTCTTGTTCTTCGAAAGCATCACCTCTGCCCGCTCCGCCTGGATCTCGTAGTTCATTACGCGCGTCGCCGTCTCGAAGTGGATGCGCTCCCTTTCCGACCGCTCGAAGTCGATGTTGGCACGCCTCGCCGCAGGCTTTTTTTTTTTTTTTGTGACGGTTTAACCGACGGCCCAGGGTCGGTCGTCGCGGAAAAGGCGCGAGCACGGGAGCAGCGAGGACGGGGGTTCAGTGGAGAGGGGGTGAGGGTGGGAGGGGACTCAAACGTGCAACCGCAGCAGTGCCACTTTTCTGAAAACCACACCACCGGCTTTGCAACACTACATCAAGTTCCTGCACACGTGTGCACCGTGCGACGACAGAAACAAAACCTAAGCATACTGAACAAGATACCACGTGTGTAGGCGTATCAACAACCGCGCCTTGGAGGAGGTTTTCCCACGCCGCCCGTAAGGAAACCTCTCGGTGAACACGATCAAGCGTCACGTGCATCCATACAACTCAAGACGCACACCAACTGCAATATCCTACACAAACCATATCCGTCACACTCGAGACACGCACCACCGCAAGTACCCTACGCAAACCAGCGCCTGCCCCCAGTAAGCACACACCAACATAAAACATCCTGAACAAACCACCACCGCCGCCGAGGAAACGCACCAGGCCCCCGTAATTAACGTCCTGAAGAGCGGCCGCTTCGATCTGCTTAGAGGTCATCTCCCTGGGGTCCGGCAAGGTCGGGTACGGCGCCTGCGGGATGTCCGGGAAGGCCGACTCCAGCTCTTCCCTCGTGGGAGTCAGCAGCTCTGGCATCTCCGGCGTACTGCTACTGTCCTCGTTCTCGGCCGACGGGTCTGCTGCTGCTTCTGGCACCACTACCTCCGCTTCCCCTTCCCCTTCCCCCCCCCCCGCTTCCTCCTCCGCCTCCGCCGTCATGCGGCACACGCCGCCATGCGGCCTTGTTTCGCGTACGGCAAGTGGCTGTTGGTTTTGGAAACGGTGGTAAATCCGGTGGGTGCGTGTTACATAGATGAAAAAAAAAGTGAGTCGGGCAACCGCGCTGGTTGGCTTTCCCAGCTGAATTCAATGCCTATGGTACGGGACAGCGCTTTGGTTCCCACTCGACCTCAACGACAATGTCTGCGGTTTTAGATAGCCGTCCTTCTCGCCTAGCCATTTTTTGAAGTTCCAACATGTTCCGTATTGTGTAGTATCTCCCTGCACTGCTGTCAACAAGGGGATTCGCCGCCTGATGTTATGTCAAGGCTTGCCGCTGCTTATGCTCCTGCCCCGCCTCATGCGAAGGAGCACGGCTTGCTGTTGCTTAGACGACCGGCTCAAGACAAGTGTTTTATACCCCAAACCGGTGTTTGCCATCGGGGTTGGGTTTTCGTCGCTTGGCAAAGACGTTATAAAACAAGCCCCCCCCTCGGTGTTTGCCATCGGGATTGGGTTTTCGTCGCTTGGCAACGACGTTGAAAAACAAGCCAATTCACTTCGTGAACTAGGCAACCAGGTTACCGTTTCTTTTTCTTTTACCTCTGTTTTTCTTTGCGGTAACCATAATGGTGGTCAACTAGATCATGTTGTGCGGGGTCGAGAACCCTCACTCCGCACAAGGGGGATGATCGCACCACGTTGTGCTTCAATGGCCAAGCACCCTCGAGGCAGTTACACAGTGTTTATAACTGTCTCTGGAAGTGAAATTAAACCACGACATACGCAGCTGTCATCCGTATACAAGGAAGTGAGCACAAGATGCCGAACACCCTTAAATAGCAGGATGCAGCGCACCCTTCATGCGACTCGCCGAATACCTCACGGCGCTTCGCGCTTGGTGATGTGATAGCCTGGTCCGGTGAGAACCCGGCGTGCTCCGTCCCGGCTTTATAGGGATGCGAGGTCAATGGTCTAACGACTACGGCATGCACGACTATCAGTACACCCCCCCCCCGCCTCATGCGAAGGAGCACGGCTTGCTGTTGCTTTGACGACCGCCCCAAGGAAAGTGTTTTTTGCGCATCATTTCTTATATTTTTTTAACCCGCCCACAGCCGCTGCGCTCTACGTCTGGTTTTCTCGAAACGCAAGACGAAGGAGTTACAACGGGACGGCGGTGGATGCGGGTGTGCTATTGAACCGCTGCTGAATCTTGCAGGTGCAATAGCAAGGGCGTTGGGTGGCATCGTCCAACAAAAAGAGCGCTGCCTGTCAGCGTTAACTACCGGCGAGCCGGCTCAACTCACAGACAGCGAGCACATTACAATATATACAACCCTCAAACGCCGAATGGGATAGCGATATGGGGTGGATCCCGCAACACTGCCCATTCACCCAGTGCACGAGGCGACACGAGGTGCACAGCGGTCCCTACGGTGCAATCTTGGTAAAAGGATACGCCTATGTACACGTGCATGCGTGCCAGCGGGCGATCTGCTGCTGTGCTCATTTCACGACATGCACGGGCAAGGCGAACGCAATGTGCTGGTGGGATTGCGATGCACTTGGCCAAGCAGCAGGGAAGTTTGATCCCGCGCCCCCCTTGCGAGAAACGTGTCTCCAGACAACCACCAGCAGCAGGCACTCAACAATACGCGTTCAACACCACACGCACCGACATCGCTATTCGCCCCGCTGCACAGCTGCTGCTGCTGTAGCCGCCCCTGCCCGCTGCTCTCTTAAGCTCGCCGCCGCCTGCGGTGGGGTTGAACAAGAAGCCTCGCGCCGCTCCGACCACCAACGAGACCAGCATCGCCAGCAGCCATCGACACGTCAACGGTGCAGCCCTGCCGCTGTAGGAAGCTAGCGGTCCTGCTCCTCGAGAGGGGGTCATATCGCCCTGCCGAAGTGCACAGCGAGCGAGAGCAGGAGGAAAGGCACACATACGGGAAAGGTCTGATGCACCACGCCACGAGGGGAGAAAAGGGTCGTGAGCGGTTGTGGGCAAGAATGCTAGTGAGAGCTGCTGGTTCGTGTGATGTTGACTGCTCCACAACGCACAGGCAGCAGAGGTCAGGTGCGCTTGATGCACCTGGCAACGACAAGGACCGGTCCTGTGTGGTGTTTGCGGGCGTGCATGTTTCGTGGTGGGTCGCGGCACAGCCTTCGCAACGCTAGACAAAACCATGGGCAGCCTGTCAGCCTGACCTTTGTAGCCGGTAGACCTCAAGGTAGACCCCCGTCTCGGCGTGCGAGTTCGTTGTAGCACAAGGCGAGGAGGTCTGCTATCGCGGCCAAAGACACCGCCGCGAGATGTTGCTTGTCGAGGGTCTCGATGGATTGAAACAGATATATACTAGCAAAACAACGATATTGCATTCACTGTGCCCCCTGGAGTCGCGTGTTGGTCAGTGCTGGCTGTTTGTGTCTTGTGATGAGATACCACGCTACTGGCAGAGCCACCTTGTTGATGTCACTGGCGTCTACGGTCGCCTTCTCTGCTGAAGGTTTGCTGCTGGCTCACGCCTCCGTCCGGCGTGGTGCTTCGTCCTCCTCGCGCGTGTTCGGTGCTGCTGCACCGTGGTCATCGTGCCCTGGAGGCACTCACCACATCAGCAGCGCGGCTGCCTTCACCTATCCGGCTGCCGACACTGCCGCCGCTGCCACCGCCTCCGTCTCCCACTCGAACAGGAACCATCGCGTTGTTACCGCGAGACCTACTTCCCGCACCGCCATGAGCACTGCTGTTGACGCGGCTGCTACGTGCAGCAGCAGCACCCTAGACACGCTGCCGTTCGACAACAGAGTGATTCGCGAGTTGCCCGTCGACCCCATCACCGACAACTACGTCAGGAGGGTGGAGAATGCTTGCTTCTCTGTCGTCGCCCCCGACCCGGTGGTGAACCCAGTGATGGTGGCAGCGTCGAACTCTGCACTCGGGCTGCTGGGCCTTGCGGCGGAGGAAGGGCAACGGGAGGATGCAGCGGAGTATTTCAGCGGTAAGTTTTCGCATGTTTTTTTCCCCCGCCGTTCCTGTCCAAATCCAACATAGTTGGTCCAGTTGGAAGGAGTGTGAGGATCAAGACAGGCGATGAGAGATCCAGCGATGCTTGTGTTAACCCCCCCCCCCCATGCACGCCACGGGCGGAATAGTTGAAGACCCGGCACGAGGCTCGCGGGTTGTATTGGATACTACCAATGAACATCCCGCAAGGACTGTCTCTCTTTCTCTCTCTCTCTCTGTGTCCCTCTCTCTTTCTCTCTCTCTCTCCATGCTCAACATTCACTGCGAACCTGGTCAGTGCACCTCCAATGTGAACGTGTTTCGATACGTGAGGTATCCCTGCAACTGCTGTAGATACGTCCTAACCTTCAGGGCCTCGCCTGCATGTCCCTTCCTCCAATTGCCTGCCGCGATCGTGACGGCCAGGAAACAAGCTAATGCCCGGCGCACAGCCTCACGCCCACGCCTACTGCGGGCACCAGTTCGGGTCCTTTGCGGGTCAGCTGGGCGACGGGGCGGCGATGTACCTGGGCGAGGTAGAGGGACCCTCTGGGAGGTGGGTATCGTTGGAAGCGGAGAGATGGGCGACCCCCCTGGACCGATTTTCAAAGCTCGAGTGGCTCGCAACCAAACTTGTGCCAAAATTCAAGAAAATGGTTGCTATCGAAACGCCTGGTCGAGTACTTGCCGCATATTTATAGGCCTATCGTGCTCTTTCCAACACCATGTCTGTTGTGGACCAATCGAGCTTTTTGCAAGTCGGTCAAGGGGGGGTGTTTTTCGCGGTGTTTGGGTTGGGTTGCGCGGCACGCGGAGGGGATCGAGGTCTTTCCTTATCTGTGGACACCTTGTGTCTGTTGACCGCGCGCATTTGCAAGGTTCACAGTTTGGGCAGTGATTTATCGGTTGGGGCGGTCTCCCCCGTACAAGGGTTTCAGCCACGACGTTTGCGTGCCCTTGAGTTTGATGTTGGACTCGCGATAAGGCAAGCAGTGTGGGCGGAAGACTTGTGCGCTGTTTTTGCTGGGGCAGCAGGGGAGTCGTAATGCCGCTGGTCTGCAGTTTTTATATCGCACAAGTTTGCACCAGCAGCATTTGATAAGTGCTTGTGGTGGGCGATGTAGGTGGTCCATCAGAGTTGGTGCAGCCGCAGAAACACCGGTGGTAGAGTTTGGCAGTGGAGGCTCTGCATCGTGCGACGAAGCAGTTGACCGTTTCTTGTTTTTCGAAGCACCCCCTCTCCCTATCGAAACGTCGACAGGATGGCAAAACGAGTACTCGTAGAAGGGGGGGTCTTTCCATGGCAACGAGAATGCGTCGGAGACTGTAGCGGAACAAGACAGCTCTCGATTTCTCTCCCACCCTCCCACTCCTTCGCGTGTCACAACCTCACGACAGCACTCTGTTGCAAGCAGTATTTGTGAGACTAGGCAGAGCCACGAGCGTGGCGAGAGTGGAATCATGTTGACCGTACCGGTGCGTCCACACGTTACGCCGGAACTCGACTCCATCTGATTTTCTGTCACTGCCGCGCTCTGCCAAAACAGGTGGGAGATTCAGTTCAAGGGCGCCGGGCTTACCCCGTACAGCAGAAGCGCAGACGGTCGAAAGGTGAGATAGTTTATTGCGACACACACGCCTTTCACAGGGACGCCCGCTTCGAGCCCAGGGCTTGCCAATTGCCGGGTGCACATTTTGAGAAGTATATTCTCTCTCCCAGCTACGTGCCGAGAGTGATAACCCGGGGAGAGCAATTTCTCGGAGGCGGTACATGTCCTCGGTGTGTATTCTTGTGTGTGTGCACCGTGTTATTTCTTTTGTTCGCATCGACCGCGCTGTATCCGGTTGACCAATGACAAGACGTCAGTCGTTGCGGGGGGAAAACATATCTAGGATGTGTTGTTGGTACCCCCCCTCCCCCCCCCGCCCGACGGTGTTTTTTTCGGGTCACTCTTTCTTCAACGTTCTCCTGACCAGGGCCCGCAGCGGCAGCGAATGGCCTAGAACGGCAGCGAATGGCCTAATAGCAAATGTTCGATTTCCGCGTCATTTTGGTGGCGTTTATCGCCCTTCCCACACACACCCTCCGGCGGCTGGCTATCTTCATTGCACCCATCCCTTCCTTCGCTCTCGCCCTCAGGTCCTCCGATCGTCCATCAGGGAGTTCCTGTGTTCGGAGGCGATGCACTTTCTTGGCATCCCCACAACGAGGGCTGCGGCCCTGGTGACAAGCGACACCAAGGTTCGGCGGGACGTCTTCTACACGGGCAACGTCATCCAGGAGCGAGCGTCGGTGGGTTGTCTTCGAAAGCAGTGGAGCCGCACGCGTACGGGGGCACGAATAGAGGGGGGGGGCGGGGGAGGGGGGGGTACTATTTTGTTGATGGATGGCGTTCCGACGTTTGTTGATGGATGGCTATGCACTAGAGCGCGCAACCCAGTCGAGTGATCAATGCTTATGTGTGCACGTGTGCACCCAACACAACCGGTCCCGCATATAGACTGTACTTCTACCGCTGGTTGTGTGTGTATGAGCTTTTCATCGCTCTGTATCCGGCTATCCATAACCACACGTCAGTCTTTGTACCGGAGAACAATAAACGCGAACCTAGTCCGCGCCCCCTCCCCCCCGTTGCAAGCACGTGTCAAAGGCCTTACTTTTGGTACAAAACATCGTGTGCTTCTTCTGCGTCGGCATCGATCCGCGGAACGGTTCCGGAACCCCATACATAGATCGTGACGAGGCTGGCGCCGACGTTCCTGCGGTTCGGATCGTTCGAGATCTTCAAGCCCAGGGACCCGCGCACGGGCAGGGACGGCCCCAGCGCCGGCAATGACGCCCTCCGCCTGCAGATGCTTGAGTACGCTATCGGCCGCTTCTTCCCGGGCGCGGCGGCCGCGGGTCCCAAGGGGTCGAAGGCGCGCTACCTCGCCATGTGAGCCAAAGGGCGTTGTGTGCTGCACGTGCGTTGTGTGGTCGTCCTTCGGTTTTGCTGCGGGCGCCCGCCGTTGTTGTTGTTGTCTTCGCGTTGAGTAACCGTTCCGATGTCTATTTCCAGTACCTCCCTGTGTCCGCACACTTGTCGCGGGAGATCCGGCTGCTCGATGGCATTACGCTACCTTGGTCGTGGTCGGACAGGAGCTACGGTCTGCGGGGACCCCCCCCCCCAATAGGAGGTGCACGGGAAAACTGGGGAGAAAATCCTCCCGTGGTCGGGGTACGTGTAGTGCAGGAAAGAGCATGTCACACAGCACCACCCAATGCCGGCAGACCTATCATCGATCGCGTGTTCCATGTCCCAAACGCCCGGGGTTAAATGAACACAAAGTGGACATGCTTCCTTTTTCTCCCACAGGTACGAGGAGGCCGTCCGTAGCACGGCGGAGCTAGTGGCCAAGTGGCAGTGCGTCGGCTTCACCCACGGGGTTCTGAACACGGACAACATGTCCATCCTTGGCCTCACCATCGACTACGGGCCGTACGGCTTCATGGACTTCTTCGACCCGAAGTTCGTGCCCAACGGGTCGGATGGCGGGGGGAGATACTCCTACGAGAGACAACCGGAGGTGAAGGGAGGGGGGGGCGGTATGTACCGATGCACTAGAGAGCTCGCGATTTGACGCGGAAATTGTGCACAGGGTGAAGGCAGGGAGTGTAACAGATGGATGCTTATGTAATGTCTCGAAATATGTTTGTTTTTGGTTGTTGATGATGATGTAGGCCGTTTGATTCGGCCACCTTGGGATAGCTCGACTATCTCTCATCGTTTCATCATGTGCTGGCTCCCACTCCACCCTCCAGCCCCCATCCCCACCCCCAACAAGCCTCTTGTGGGCGAAACACCGCTGTGCTCCATCCCGTTTTCGGAAGGGCTGCGAACGTGGACGACGCCCTGCGATGGCTTCTTCGGCAATACATGAATGTTGAGTGCACTTCCCCCCCCCTACCCTGTCCGACTCTGGTGCCCCCTGCCTTGTCCTCGCCGTCACTGGTGATGGTTGCTGCTGTTGGTGTTTTTCTTCCAACACGTCTACCCCATACACGCACACGTGTGTGTACGCGGCCTATTTTGCGGTACACCGTACCATAGATGTGCAAGTGGAACCTGCACAAGTTCGCGGAAGCGCTTGCGCCGGCGCTGCCGCTGTCGGACTCTACGGCCGCTCTCGAGAAGTACGATGGCCTCTTCAAGCGCTACTACGAGGAGGGGATGCGAAGGTTCGATGATCTGAAACCAGCGAATAGCTGCTGTACCTTTTTGCAGTAACTGCTGTGGTGCTTTTTCGCGTCTGTGTGTTGTGGTTGCTTGCCGCTCCGCTACTGCTGTACGGGCGAGAACCAAAAACTATGTGCAATCAGCGAAGTACATGCTTAGATTCGGATCACTTCCAACAGTCTGGATGTAGCAATTTTTTGCGGTTCAGACTGTAATATATATATATTTCATGAATATTTCAATCGTTTAATTTTGTGTGTCGGCACTTTAAAAAGTGATATCTAAGCAGTCGGGTGCGGGCACCGAGAGTATGAGCACGGACGGGCATTCCTATCCTACCTGACGCTTATTTGTTGTGGCGTCACAAACTCGTTTGCCTCGGGCTTCTCCTTTCGGAATGGAAAAATTGAACAAAAATTCAGGTACCATTTGCTTTTTTTTTCAAGACATGTTTCGGTACTTTTGTGGTGTGTACCTGGATGCTACATTTTTGTTGTGTTTTTCTGTGAGTCTCTGGGTCATCTCCTGGGCCTTCTGTCAGCATGGTGCCTTTTACCCCGCCTTCCACCCACACGCGTTCGTAAAAAAAAAAGACCAAGTAGTACATACTGCTGCATGTCGAAAAAATAAAGTAGTCTCATGTGTTTTTCTTGTTTCCCCACCTCTATTGCATCCATCAGGAAGCTCGGCCTGTTCTCGGTGGAGGAAGACGACGACGGGCTGTTCGAGTCGCTTTTCGCGACCATGGCCGACACCTCGGCAGATTTCACGGGAACGTTCCGGGAACTGGCGCAGGTAATTTATTACTTCCTTCCGTCGGTCCACCCGGGGTGTCGAAGACCAACGTTTGTTTGCCCGCAAGAGGTGTGATGTTATAACGACTCTTTTCATAGGGAAGATCCATTTCGCTCCGCAGAGTTTTTCACCCGGGAACTTCTCTTGGATTTTCCTTTGTGTTTTTTCGGTTTCTGTATGAGAGAGAGAGAGAGAGAGAGAGAGAGAGAGAGAGAGAGAGAGAAAGCTTTGACGCATGTGGGAGTGGTTGTGTTCTTCCCTTTCCCCGAAAGACCGTCCGGCTGTTGTTCTGGTGGTGGCACGTACCCAAAGTCGTTCCACGCAAAAAGGATCTACGTTGATACTGTCGTTGTTTGGCACCTTGTTAGGTGTTTGGCCCTGGCCTCAGCACCCTCTGGCTCTGCCGCTGTCGACACCGAATGCCACGTTGTTTTGTGTTGCTTCCGCCTCTCTCTTAATCTCTCTCTTTCTCTGCCCCCTCTCCCCCCCGTCTCCATTCCGGCCGTGTTCTCTCTTT